CCCAGCTGGGGGTGCTAGGCCAGCTTCCCAGTGTCAGGGGCTGCTGCTCTCTTTCTCACTACAAAGTCTTAACTCATCTGATAAAATTCAATGATAAATGGTCACCTTATGTTTTCCTTTAGGATTGTATTGAATTATTTTTTAGAAAGTATCTAAATGCTCAATCCAGCTGGCATTTATTTTGGAGTGGGGGGTGGGGTAAGAGGAATATAGCCTCAGGTGGAGGATATGCCAAAGAATTAATGAACAAGTTTTAGTATTGAACATACTGAGGTCTTCATGGACTTGCTTTGTTAACCTGGCAGGTTGCTATGGTCTGAATGTTTATGTTCCCCCCAAATTCATATGTGATTAGGTCATGGGGGTGGAGCTTTCATGAATATCAGTGTTCTTATATATTTTTTTATTTTTATTTATTTATTTTTTTTAGAGGTTTTTGCTATAGGGTGTGTGTGCTCACCAGACAGACAGAGACAGACAGAGAGACAAAAGCGAGAAATCACCCCCTAGGGGGAATGGCCACGCCACAATCCCTTCTCTGTTCTCCTCTCAGGATCTTGGGCACAAACACACACGCACCTGGCGTGAGTTTTAAGCGGGTCCGGGACGCGACCTGTGGTGGACTATGTGGGGATCCAGCGACATAGCCCTTACGCTAACTGCTGGTCCCTCAGTGTCCTTATACAAGAAGCCTAAAAGAAACCCATTTGGCCAGCCCCATAGCCCAGTGGATAGGGAAGCTGCATCTCACATGGCTGACTGTGGTTTGAGTTCCAGCTCTGGTGGCTTGAAAAACACACCAGGCACATATATGTGCTGCCCCAACTCCCTACAGGATGAAGTAATGGGGGAACAAAGACTGTGGTGTAGCCATGTTCTATTGGAGGTGTTCTCTCTCTCTCTTTCTGGTGAGTGCATGTACCCTCTGGCAATAAAAAAGGAGAAAGCTGAAGAGAAAAAAGAAATTTATCTTTCTTTCTACCTTGTAAAGATACAGCAAGACGGTACCATACATGAACTAGGAATTGGCCTTCCTCAGACACCAAATCTGCTGCTTTGATCTTGGACTTCCTAGTCTCCAGAACTGTAAGAAATAAATCTCTTGAGGGCCATATGATGGCACATGGTAAAATGAGAAGAGTCCAAGATTTGTGTTCCGAGAAAATCCCTGAGTATGTGTGCCCATGATCTGGGGCTGACAGGCTGTGGGGTGGATTGCCGTGTCAAGTCTGTTGAGGCTGCTGCTTCTTTGTGTCTGTGACTCATGGAGAAATAATTAATAAGCTTTAAAAAAAAAAGGAACAAAATTCTCTTGTTATAAGCCACTCAATTTATAGTATTTTGTGGTAGCAGCCCTGATGAACTAAGACACAGGCATAAGGCTGGTTTTGACTGATCATTCTTAATTCCCTTCAAGCTGGTTTGTACATAGAAACAACCTCAGAATAACCATCTAGAGCATGTAGGGGGCATGCTCTCTCCTTCTTCTTGTTTTCGAGGAAAGGGAAAGTGCCAGGCCCCCTTAAGTCGTGGCTGTGAGTGCCTTCACTCCTCAGGCTTGTCAGCTGAAAACCCTCCCAGAGCTCCACGTGCAACGGGCATCATCTCGGTCTATTTGGGTAAGTGCAGCTCAGGATCAATTATGGATGAGTCTCTACGGGAGATGAGTAAGTGGGCTGTTGTCTACTTTGAAAAATTAATGGGATCTGATTAATACAGGAGCACACTCTCTCTCTTGCTCAATCCAAAGAAACTCAGATCTCTGCGGAGGCTGAGGGTGGAGGCAGCAGCTCCTGAGTCTGTGTAGTGTCAGGTTTGATGCATAGAATGATGCTTTAGGATTGTCTGACCCTTTGACAGGTGATAATACAAAGGTCCATCAAGGCTAGGCAAGCCATTTGCACAGACAGGAAAAAGGAAGAGGATAGTCTGTTGTTGTTATTATTATTTTAACTTTTTATTTTTTTTCCTTTTAGTATTTGCTAATGGGCATGTGTGCTTGTGTGAGAGAGAGAGGAGAGAGAGAGGGAGAGAGAGAGGGAAAGCCAAAAATGAGAAACACCCGTCAGGGGAAATGCCACTCCACAATTCCTTCTCCTCTAGTCTTTTCTCAGGACTTTGGGTGTACATACACACATGCTCAGCATGATTTTCAAGGCACCAGGTCCAGGACTCAAACTGTGCAGTCAGCCATGTGGAATCCAGTGCCTTAACCTCCATGCCACCTGCTGGCCCCCCACTATATATATATATGGTTTTTTTTTGTGGAGAGGTTTTTGCTATAGGGTGCGTGCACTTGCAAGAAAGAGAGAAAGAAAGTGAGAAATCATCCCCCCCCCCGCCCGGGGATTGGCCACACCATAATCCTTTCTCCTCCATTTTCCTCTCGGGATCTTGGGCACGCATGCACACGCACCTGGCGTGAGTTTAAGCCACCAGGTCGGGGACTCGAACTGAAGTCAACTACATGGGAGTCCAGTGACATAGGCATTACGTCAACTGCTGGTCCCTGGCCTCCAAATTTTTAAATTTTTTAAATATGGGAAATTAAGAATACTTACAAAAGTAGAGAATAATATAATGAAGCCTTTCTCAAACTTTTTAGCCTCGGGAATATTTTACATTCTTAACAGTTACTGAGGACTTCAAGGAACTTTAGTTTATGTGGGTTGTGTCTGTTGATATCTACCACATTTGACATTAAAACTCAGACATTTAAAAATATTTATTAACTATTTAAAAATAGCAAATCTCATTCTATATTAACATAAATAGCTTTTTGCATTTGATATTTTATTTCTACTATAAGCTTTAGATGATAGTTACTCATTATCTGTACTATCCATTAGATTCTATTTTTATCGTAGTAAAATGTGCCTAATAAAGTTTATTGTTTTAACCATTTCTTTTTCTTTTTTTGGAGAGATTTTTGCTATAGGGTGCGTACGCTCACCAGAAAGACAGAGTGAGATAGAGACAGAAAGTGAGAAATCACCCCCCAGCCAGGGGGTGGGGGGGATGGCCATGCCGCAATTCCTTTTCCTTCATTCTCCTCTCAGGATCTTGGGCATGCACGCACACACGCACAGCGTGAGTTTAGGCCACCAGGTCCAGGACTTGAACCGCAGTTGGCTACATGGGAGTCCAGCGACATAGTCATTATGCCAGCTGCTGGTCCCTTTTTTTCTTTCTTTCTTTCTTTCTTTCTTTCTCTTTCTTTCTTTCTTTCTTTCTTTCTTTCTTTCTTTCTTTCTTTCTTTCTTTCTTTTTTGTTTTAACCTTTTCTAAGTGTATAGTTCAATAGCATTAAGTACATTCATGTTTTTACACCATCACCATTATTCATTTCCAGAACATTTTCATCACCTCATACTGAAACTCGATACCCATTGAATGATCTCTCCCCATTCCCCCTTCCCCTCTTGTCACTAATGTTTCATTTTATATCTTTATGATATTCACTACCCTGAGTATTTCATATTAGTGGAATCATGCAGCATTTGCCTTTTGTGACTGGCTTATTTCACTTAGCACAATGTCTTTAAGATTCATCCATGTGGTAGCATGTGCCAGAATCTCTTTCCTTTCTAAGGCTGAGTAATATTCCATTGTATGTACATGCTACACAGCGTTCATCCAATTCATCCATTGACAGACATTTGGGTTGTGTCCAACTTTTGACTACTAGGAATGCCACTATGAACACGGGTGTATAAACAAATGTTCAAGCCTCTGTCTTCAAGTCTTTTGTGTGTATCTCTAGAAGTGAAATTGCTGGATCACATGGTAATTCTTTTTCCATTTTTAGCTAATTTATTTCTGTATTTATTTATTTTAGTACACTTATTTATTTTAGCTTATTTATTTATTTTTAGTTCATTTCTTCTGTGAGCAACAGAGACACACATGCACAGAGACAGAGACAGGGAAATAGCACTCCCAACAAGATCTTGACACTACAGTCCACCCTCAGCCCCAGCCAGCCCTGGATCATGAAAACATGGGTGTGCTCAGTACATTCAGAGAGGTATCTGGACACAAACCCAGAACCTTCCCATGTGGCTCACCTTGAAGTATCTTGTTTGACTACCACACTGCTATCTGCCTCCCATACCTGACACACATATGACAATTCTATGTTTAATTTTTCAAGGATCCTCCTTACTGTTTTCCCCAATGACTCTCCTATTTTTACATTCCCACAGATAGTGCACAAAGACTCCAATTTCTTTACACCTATACCAACACTTTGTGAAATATAATAACCATCCAAATGGATGTTAAATAAATTTAAAAATTAATAACCATTCAAACAGGCATTAAATGCATTTTTTATTAAACATGTATTACATTTTCCATACCAAAAAATAGTGGGCAAGGCCGGCAGGTAGCATGGTGGTTAAGGGTGCTGGACTCCACATGGCTGACCACGGTTCAAGTCCCAGACCTGGTGGCTTGCTTTCTCACTTTTCTTCTTTCTTTCTCTCTCTCTCTCTGGCCTTCTCTGGTCAAATTTAAATAAATAAATAAAATAATTCTTAAAAAATAAAAAAGAAAACCTTAAAAAAATAATGAGCAAAGAGACTTTGTTTTACATTTTTCAAATCTCTCATGTCTGGCTTAATAGGTGGCTGGCTTTTCATATCTACTTATGCATTTAATTTGTTGTGTTATCACATGCCACATGGCCTCTGGAAAATTCCACAGTTCCCTTGTGAGAGAATAAAAGAGGAAAGGCAAATGACATTCTCATGTTATTTGGAAAATATTAGGTTCTTGGACAAGTCATGACGTATTTTTTTTATGCAAAAATCTATCATGACTTTCCTGATGACCCAATAGGTTTTTTTTTTTAAAGATTTATTTATTTATTTAATTCCATTTGTTATTATTACTTCTTTTAATTTGACCAGAGAGTGAGAAAGAGAAAGCAAGAAAGCAAACCACCAGGTCTGGGACTCGGAACTACAGTCGGCCATGTGGGAATCCAGCGCCTTTAATCCCCACACCAACTGCTGGCCCCATGACCCAATAGTGTTGAATTTGTAGATCTCAGCTTTAATTATTAACTCAACATCACTCTTGTTCCATCTCTCCTCCCCACTGCACTTCATTCCTTTATTATTTTGAAGCAAACCCGTAGCCATTTATTATTAGTGCCACTGCATTGGGTGCTATTCTGCATTCTTTTTTTTTTTTTTTTTTGGAGAGATTTTCACTGTAGGGCGCGTGCGCTCGCCAGACAGACAGAGAGAGACATAGAGACAGAAAGCGAGAAATCACCCCCCAGGGGGGATGGTCACGCCGCAATCCCTTCTCCTCCATTCTCCTCTCGGGATCTTGGGCACGCACGCACACACGCCCGGCGTGAGTTTTAAGCCACCGGGTCCGGGACACGAACCGCGGTCGACTACGTGGGAGTCCAGCGACATAGCCATTACGCTAACTGCTGGTTCCCTATTCTGCATTCTTTTGACAAATTCACTTTGTTAGCAGGTATGAGCACCTGGTTGTTCACTTGAGGAAACCAGGCCTGGGGGACATTCGAATTTTTCCCCACGTTCATGCCATAGGAAGCTGAGGGCACACAGGATAGAGATAGAGCTCAGGTTGGATCTGTGTTACCCAGTCTCCTAATTTTGACTTCTGACCACGAGAGCTGTTGGGGCTGCCAACTGCATGTGGGGACTTTGGGAAAGGCCCTTGTTTTCCTCCCTGCCTCTGCCTTGCCTGTGAGGGTGTTCAGTAGACCTTTGAATCCCTTATGGATGAGGCCTTGTGCTGGCTGTTGAACAGAGGAACAGAGAGTTGAATGGATGCTGCCTCTTTTCCTTTTTCTAGTTTGCCTGAGGATATATGCACTTGTATGAGAAGGAAAGAGAGAAAGAGAAAGAGAGAGAGAGAAAGCACCCTCCCAATGGGGTGTGGTCATGCTGCCTCTCTTCTCCTCCATTTCTCACCCCTATTGGGGTTTTGGGCCTGCACACACAAAAACCACTGAGACCAGGAATATGTGGCTGACCATGTGGAATCTGGCCATAGGGCTGGCCCTGGTTACTATCATTTGAAGCAATTCTGGATCATTTCATTGTGCATGAGCTAAGAAAACATTTTCACTCTCCATTCTAAGGTGCAGCCAGCTTTGGGAGGGGAAGAAAACAGCTGAAGGATGCAGGCTGCTGAGGATTACATGTTCTGCTCTGGGATGAATTGGAAGCACCTCCATTCCTGGAGTCCAGAGAAGATGGGGCTCCAAGGTCACCAAGTCCTGATTGTCTCTCAAGGTAGAAACCCTCTCTGAACCGCCTTACCTAAAGGTCACCTGACCTCTTTTTGTGTTCCTCCAGTGGCAGTGAACTCCTTATCTGCCTCAGTAGACTGCCAGTCCAATGGATGGTGCTCTCATTATTAGAAAGCACCACTCAGGACCAGCAGATGGCATAATGATTACATTGCTGGACTCCACGTAGCTGACTGCAGTTCAAATCCTGGACCTGGTGGCTTAAACTCATGCTGGACATGTGTGTGTAAGCACCAAAAATCCTGAGGAGAGAATGGAGAAGGAGGAATTGCAGTGTGACCACCCTACTGGGTGGTGATTTTTTGCTTTCTGTCTCTCTGTGTCTCTCCGGCAAGTGCACACACCCTGTAGCAAAAAATCTCTCAAAAAATAAAAGAAAAAAAGAAATCACCATTCATACTGAGTAACCATCCAGGAACAACCTGGATTTATGCTGTGGTGGGAGGAGCCCAGACTGGGAGCTGAGATTCCTGGGTATGAGATTGGGGCGGCTATGGTTATGTTGTAGCCACTCCAAGGGTTTTAACTTCTTTCCCATGAAGAGAACTTACCTCTGGCTCCTTTTACCATCAGCCCTCTGATTTCTTTTCTAATTTGGTCTCCTTTTCTGTATGAACAATCTTTAAAGGCTTGAAGAAGCGGAGCTGTCTTTAAGTGTGGACATGATCATACTGCTTGGTACACTGTCTCCAGCTGCCCATCCAGAGGAATGCTTCTGGAAACATCCTAGTCTGCTCCTAGCCCACTCCATGGAGCCTGACCTCAGCATAGACCTCCAAAGCATATCTGGGTTCACAGACCCTGCTGTAACCCCAAAAAACCATCACTGTCTCACCCACCTTCTGTGACTTCCATTCCACCTCTACATAAGCTGTTCTCTGATGTGTTTCAGTTAACTTCCACTAGTTAACTCTCAAACACCTTGTAACAGGAAGAAGAGAGAAAAAGTGGGATCCCCTACCCCAACCAAGTAATTGAGGCAGAGCTGGAGCTCAAGCGGCTTTTTTGGGTTGGAAAGGGTGTAGAAGTGGCTAATGTGGCCTTGGCCTGAGAGTGATTCCAGGACAGCAGGCCAGACTGCCCATCTCCATGGCAACTGTTGTTATTGGTAACTGAATAAGCATCTCTGAGAACAGCGGCTGGAGTGCTGATGGGTTTCCCTCCTAGTAGGAAGTGAGAGGAACCAGGCTGTCTGCTGATTGATAGTAAGTGCTGGGCTCTTTTTCCCCATCTCAGGATCTTCACTGAATATTGGGCAAGCTAAACCACCCTTCTATTTCCTCTCTGACCTCTGCCAATGGATGGGGTGGGACAAACTGACTTGGTATTTGTTTTCGGGCTCCTCTGGGAGACTGAGAAATGTGCTTGGGGGCATCTAGCTAGTGAGATCCAGAACTTGAACCTGACCATCTGATTCTGAAATACATACATGTGACCACATCTCTGTTCTACCTCTATCTTTTTCTTCTGAGACCACATGGCAATTTTATCAGCCTCCCCTCATGACACCATCGGTCTGCTTATTACCTATAGGGACAGGTAGCTTCTCACCATGATTCGCAGTTTATGCAAGGCATTCTAGAAGCTGTTTTACTTGCTCATCTTACAGTAAGGTCAATGGGACCTCAAGATGCTGTAACCCTAGAATTATTAGAGAAGCAAAGACTCAGAAAGGCGAAGGCAGGTGCTCACCCAGGCCATTATCTGAGACTGCTGGTTTTCCCCTCTGTATTTTCTCTCTATCTCAGTGGGTAACAGAAAGTGGAACATACTTGCCCAAAGGAATGGAATTCAGACCGTTCCTATGGAGGATCTTTGACCATTGCATTAAGTTTTGGTCTATCTCTCTGTATATTCTTATTTAACAAAACATTTAGGACCTATTTCTATGGGATTTTTTCATAGATAAACTTTAGAGTCATTTTTATCCAGATTCAGAACTAAAATTGGTAAAATTTTGAGTGCAGTTGTACAAAGGTTACCATCCTAAAGATCCTGCCTTGTAAAAGTGAGAAAGAGCTCAGTTTGGTATCTTGTCATCTATGTTCAAATTTTATTGGGTCATTGGAAAAGTCATGATGTAATTTTTTCTATGTTTTTCTATGCAAAAATGTATCATGACTTTTCTGATGATCCAATAGTACCACAGCCTAAGAAGGCCACTCATCTCTCTCAATCTCTTGGTGGTCTGTGGGAGAACTGACCACTCCCTCCATCTTGAAAATTCCCTTGTCTTTGGCTTCTGTAACTCTACCTCTCTCCAGCCTTCCTCTTGCCTCTCTGGATGTTCCTTCATCATTCCCTTTGCTCTTCCTCCTCCACTTGACCTCTGCATGTTGGGGTGGCTCAGGGCTTGATCCTGGGTGATATCATCCACCATGACTATGGCTTCAATTCCCACCTATATGTCAATGAATACCAAAACTGAAATCTCCAACTCACACATCTATTCTGAGCTTTAGGCCTATATTTCACGGGACTACTTGCATCTCCTCCTGAATGGCCCCAGACATCTCAAATTCAACTCATTCATAACTAAGCATGGGCCTGCTCCACCACACTTTCTTGCTTCCCCTCTACCCAGTCCAGTGTTTCTCATCTCAAAAATGGTGCTACTCTGTCCTCAGTAGATGAGGGGCCATTCTTGACATTTACCCACCCTCAACCCCTATATCTAATCTATCACCAAGTCTTGTTGAATCTATCTCCTAGAAAGACTCTAGAATTTTCCTACTTGTCTCTGTCATCACTGCCATTGCCTTCACCCTCCCAATCTTACTCTTTGCCTGGCTGATTGTGACATCCTCCACCTTGTGCCCTGAATCTCCTCCACTCTGGTTAGAATGCCCTCAATATACAAATCATATCATGAAGATCTGTGGTAGTTTTAAATATGGCTGCAAATTATGTAATCTCCCTTGAATCTAGGTGAGGACTGTTCTGACTCATGGGGCATGGCAGAAATGATGCTGTGTGACTCCTGAGGTTAAGCCATTGAAGGCCAGGCAGCTTCTATCTTGTTTGGTGGGGCATTAACCCTTGAAGTCCTGAGTCACCATGTAAGATGTTTGATTACCATCAGCTCACCATGATGTAAGGAAGCCCAAGCTACAGGCCAATGGTTTGGTTAGCAGTCATAGTTGAACCTAGCCTCTAAGACATTATAGTCCAGAAGCTAGATACATGAATGAAGAAGCCTCTAGATAATTCTAAACCCTCAAACTCTCCAGCCATCAAGTGACTTTCAGCTATATATTTCCCCAGTTAAGGTCCCAGACACATTGAGTAGCAGAGACAAGCCAAAGAGATAAGTATAAAACACCCTCTTTGATTCCATTTCCATTCCACAGAAAACAAGGGCACAATAAAATGGCAGTTGCATAGGGTGGCTTACTATGTAATAGTAGATGACAAGACCAAGATTCAAATCTTGCAAATGGTTTCCTCCATCTTCAACCCAAACAGACACTCCATGCATTTTCTCATCTCAGAGCCTTTGTATATGCTATCCTCTCTCTGTGGAATGTTCTTCTCTCCTCAGATGTCCACCATGAACCCATCTTTTAATCTCAACTCAAACATCACTTCCTTTGGATACCTTTCTTGATTACTTCCAGACCAGGTTGGGACCCATTCTGGACTTTTATCACAAGCCAACCCTCTCTTTAATGTGACTGTAGTGACCTTTGAATCACTTTTCTTGACTCTTCCCTGCTGGGCTATGAGCACCACGAGTGCAGGGCTTATAGCTGGTTCTCCAGCTCCTGACAAGGTGCCTGGCACACTTTGGCATCCAGCGAATGTTGAGTGAGTGAAAGAATGGATAAAGGCATATTTTCATTGATATTGTTTGGTGAGCACATGTGGGAGACAGCTGAGCTTCTGCTTCTGGTTCCATACTACACAGGGCTGTCCTGATTAAACTTCTCCTCCTCCTCATCTCCTTCATTTTTTTTCCAGATTTTTGCAATAGGGCACATGCACTCACCAGAGAGTTAGAGAGAGATAGAAAGACAGATAGCGAGAAATCACCCTTAGGGAGATGGCCACACTGCAATTCCTTCTCCTCCATTCTCCTCTTGGAATCTTGGGCATGCACCCACACAAGCCCAGTGTGAGTTTTAAGCTGCTGGGTCCAGGACTTGAACTGCAGTCCACTACATGGGAGTCCAGTGATGTGTCCATTATGCCATCTGCTGGTCCCTTGATTAAACTTCTTATGATGTCCAGGGAGCAGATAGGAAAGAGAAGTCCTCACCCATGTTGTATAAGTTTGTAGAGGTGTCCAGGTGGGAAGAGAGTCTCACTGGGTGAGGGCTGGTGGAATTGTGCCTTTAAAGCCCCTCAACCTGTCCCAGGGCAGGAGAGACGTAGGGGTGTTCAGGCTGGATGAACACTCCAAGAAAGGGATCTGAAAAATCAGCCATGGTAAGTGGAGACAAAGGCTACTCCTGACTGGATGGATAACTTGGGTGCAGTTCATGCACCTTCTCTGGGCCCTGTTTTTATACAGATGTTGGACAAGTGCCCTAGAATCTACTCCAGCTTTCTGGGTCTGTGTGTAGAGAGCATGGAGGCCAGGCAAAGGGCTCACAAATGGTGCACAATCCAGAGAAAGTCACCAGGGAGGGCTGCAATTTATGATTTTTGAAAAATTCCCAAATTACATCTTTAATGTGTTCAACTCCCAGACATTACAAATTACATCTTTAATGTGTTCAACTCCCAGTCCTCTTGAAAAGGATCTTTAGGCATCTAATTGACGTATTTTAAGAGACATATTGGCTAGTTAGACATCAATTGACATCCTTATTAAATATCAATTAACACACTCCCTAACTTGATATTTAATTAGCTTGCTGTAGCTATTCTTTTACAAGTCAATTAAATGCTTGGAATATTTTTACAAGCTGACTCCACTGATAGCAATTATGTCTGAATTCCTGTCATAAGTCGTTTTTAGTGGATTGCAGGG